CTTATTTATTTCACGAAATCATACCTGGTTTCTTTTTATTATTACTAAGTAAGAATATTTTTTTTACTGCTATTCTTTTTATACTGAAGAGTTGGTATCAAAATAATTTTATTTATAACTACCAAATACAAAATTTTAACAAAGACATATACCCCTAATACATGAACCGTTGATTATAACATGTAACTAACACCAAATACATATTTCAAACAGCAAAAATGAGTGATTTTTATTGCATTTATTAAATGAGGCACAATCAATTATGAAATATGAATATAATATGTAGTACATTTAGGATTTTCATTCTGTGTGAAGCAAACCGCCGTAGAAGGGGATATCCGTCTGAGGCAACCAAGTGTCTCCCAAAGTGAAATTGTACACGGTGAAGTTCATGGCTTGTGCCAAGTTCAATAAGCTATAACCTGACCACTGAACCCTCTTATTTGTATTAGCTCCCGGTCCAAAGTTGTCATATTCACCATATGAGATCGTATCTAGCCCGGTTGTACCATTCCATTCTAACCATCCATCTGGTTGGATAGCATCACTAATGTAGGATTGGATGTATACCGTTCTTGAGTAAGGCTTCCATGGCCGCCCAAGAAATGTCATGGCCGGGTTAGGGTCAGCCGCAAGGTCCGGGGCAGCTCCAATTGTACAATTGATAATGGAGATTCCGGTTTTTTGGTTTGGATCGGTTCTTCCATGGGCTGTCACTGCATTTTTCTGATGTACCATCGGTTTGCGAGCATATATATTGCAGTTTTGAAATACCGCAGCTGCATTTCCGAATATAAAATCTATGGTACCTGTAACAGAAAATATAAAATCATTCAAAATATATAGTAGTATTAGTTTGGAGTTAGAAAACATAAGATAGATCATACCGTAAATATCGCATTCACGATAAAATTGTCTTAAAGAATGGACGTAGAGAGTATCTTGATAGCCTTCAAAACTACACCGATAAAATGTGGATCCATCCGCATTATTTCTCACAGCCACGGCCTGGTGCTTCTCAGGTCCAGCTGTGTTTCTAAATGTCACATCAACTGCAACAAATCGGTCTCCAACCACCGCTACAAACGCCAGTGAAATCACAATTAATCAAGAGTATATTTAGGAGTAAAACCATTCCAAATGTATAAAAAAAAAAAGCTAAGATACTTTACCAAAGGTTGAAGAATTATAAGTAGTCCAGCCATCAATAAAACTGTGGTTTCCAGAAATGATGGTTTTATTAATTCCATCTCCAATAAGCATTATGTTCCTTTTTTTATTTGAAATGACAACATATTCTTCGTAAAGACCTGCCCTTGCATAGATGACAAAATAGCCTTCCTCCGGAAATGTGTTGTTAGGTGCGGCAGCTACTGCCTCAGTTATGGTGGTGAAGTTATCAGTTGCGTATGGACCAACGATCACTGCTTCTCTTACGAGGATCGAGCCACCACTCGTTTCCCCTAGCTCACCTAATTTCCTATCATTCCTACAGTCCTTGCTTTTGTCGCATGTTTTGCGTAAAACCTACAAAATGATTACTTTTTTCTTAGATACTTACATAATACTTAGTAAATAATGAACATTTTCGTACACTGCTTATCGAGTTCATGATCATATCATAATGAACAAGACAAAAGTGATGTATTTTTTCACTTAAAAGGTGATGCATTGGTCCAAAAAGAATGAAGAAGATAAAAGTGAATACTTAAAGTGATGTAGATGGGGGAATCCATGTGAAGGTATTCATTGGTCCGGAAAGACCATGTGGACGGACCCATGTGATTTTATTTGCATATCTTTTGTTGTCTTTATTCGTATTGAGTTTCAAGTAATTAATGTTTGTACTTTTAGATTTGTAAGTCAAAACTCAGACGTCTTTCGACACATTCACTGAATTTCGTTGACTTTATATTATATCTGGCATGTGCCATTATTGATTGTACTAAGTACGTACACGTACACTCAACCACTATTTGAATCACATGTGCAGATCTAAGTTAACGAAAAAGAAAAATATCATTTATGTAATTATGTAACTAATGATCCGATCAGTTTAATTACATCCTTCACCTAAATAAAAACTGGATGCTAAACCTAGTAAGAAATTAAGAAGTATTTTCACATACGTATTCATTATTAGTTAGTTAGAACATAATCAATATACTAATTAACGACCTTGGACAATACTAATGTAAAACTTCATGATATAATACTTATATCTACCAATCTCTTAACATTCCGACATAATTGGCTGATCTATTTGTTTATGCATTCTTTTGTCATACCTAGTTTTTAAAATCACATAATTAGCTTATTTAAAAACCTACGAAGACAGAATAAAAATAAAACAAAGAGGTAATAAACTAAACGAAATTTACCTTAATCAACGCCTCGAGCGGTTCACGCACAGCTTTTTTACCACCACCAAAGATCTTCCCCTTGGATCCTTTATACCGCTTCAGGTTACGGCTAAGCGCGTGACTCACAAGCCCCAATGATACACTATATAGCTGCGTCACATTCCCCAACGGCGAACCAATCACCGTCGCAAACGCGCTCTTAGCATCCTCAAGACCGTCGAGGCACGTCTGCTGATTCGTCACAACGCCACCAAGAAGACTCGAGACACGATCAACGAGCGCTTCAGTCATTAACTCCGCTGCTTTCAGCTCATACGAAACCGTTTCAAGGTACTCAACGCTGAGCTCAGCCAGGTCGCCGCAGTCAGCCACCGCGCTGACCTCTTCAGCCGTGGACTCTCCGGGATCTTTTTGTACGCGCTGTGCAAAGCGGTTTATGACTTTGGAGAGGCGACGTGCTTGTTTGAGGCATTGTTTGAGTGTGAACTTACCGTAGTGGTATGGATCGGAGGGTGAGAATTTGAAGGCTGAGAGGATTGTGCGGCAGAGTTTTGGGTAAGGAGTGGATTTACAAGCGGCTTTGGCTTGTTCTGAAGGTGACTGAGCTTGTGGCTGTGAAGGTGGCTGTGATGGAGGCTGTGAGGGAGGCTGTGAAGGTGGCTGTGTCGGTGGCTGTGATGGAGGCTGCGTCGAAGAGGTTAGCAAAGCACATGAAAGAAAGAGAAGAGACAGGTACAAGAGAGATGAACATAAGTGTTGTGTTTGCATTTTTTGGTTTTTGAGTTTTTATCTTTTGCTTCTTTCTTGATGTCAACTAATTAAGAGCTTGCTCTATTTAAAGTATGCATGGTGGAATTTATATGTACATTTATAATGCATGGTATATAGAGAGAAACTATTTGTTCAAAAAAAAGAAAGAGAGAAACTAATTAATAATGTAATGCATGTTGCCTTGTTTATAAATTATTAAAGCGATGGAAAATTATACATGACTTTATGAAATTGTATATATATTTTTGCTCACCATGAAATTGTATATATAAGCACGTATATATATATATATATATATCATTCATTTTGATCATGGATTTTTTTAGGATTTTTATTGATGCTCTTCAGAATAAGTTACCGTAAGATCCAATGGAGTGCAACAAATTCTCGAGTCGTTACAATGACCAGAATATATGGATATTAATAAATGATATGGTGGCTTATTATACGAGTCTTGAGTTGCACCTACGTTAATAGCAACTTTACAGCGAGTTTTTAAAAGTCGGTGTTTTAGGCTGTTGAAAAAACTTCTGCATCGTTTTATATTTTGTTCATTTTAATCATTGTTTTCTTACCATATGATATATTTACATATCCAAACTGTTGCACGAAAAGAAAAAGAAAAAGAAAACATTTGCAAACAAAGGCACCTTTTCTTGATCATATATTCGTAAAAGATGACTCAGTTATAATTTAAAAAATCATATGCTCAATTATATATACTCATTATAATTAATCCTCAAAATTTCTTATTTTGAATAGACGTGTTTATTATAAAAAAACAACATTATATAAAGGTTAGAACATTGTATCTCGCTTCCTATTATATCACATGTAAGTCGACAAGCAGATGAAAAATTAAAACAAAGCAGTAATGTCTACAATTCATAAAGCAACACGTAATGATTTATTAGAATGAAGTTAAAATGAATACATGTGAGATGATGCGGAGCTTCAGGGCGAAGGAAAGACTCGTTTAAAGTTTTAGAAATCTTAAAGACTAAAACCATCACTTTGTTTGTTACACTTACAAGTTTGGCCCAAATTAATTATACTCTATCCAAACATTGGTTACCGAAGAATTGATTTCTATTCAAAAACATGTGAATAGTCAAATTACAACTCCAAAATAGATTTAACTAATTTTAAGAGGTCAAAGTCAAACTGTCATAAACTTAATCTTCAAATATTATGCAGACGGTAGGAACTTTCTGAAAACACATGGGAATACATACACAATCCTATTACGGATTGTAAAAAAGCTATATTTGTTATTTAAAAAAAAAACTAAATATCTTTATCATACTGATATATATATATATATATATATATATAGGATATTATGTTTTAGGAATCATTCATATATTACAACATTTTTTTTTGATCACCATTTCTTATTTTTTATTACAATATTACAACATTTCTTAGTTGGCAAATTTGTTAAGCAAATTAAACACCTGAATTCTTTATTGTTCTGTTGACATGGTTGATACAAACCTAAAGACTTGCCGAGTTTTTGGTTTGGTCGGTTCAATATTACTAAGGACAGTGAATATTCGTAATAACATCTAGAACGGTGTGCCTTTAAGTATACCAAGATATCTTTCAACAGTCGATGTAAACTATTGTCTCCTAGTTCCGGTTCTACTCTCACAAACCTCAACGTTGACAACAAACACGGCGCAGACCGGCCGGTGATCAGAGAACCGCGACTCTCCTCGCACGTACGAGAGCTGCCTGATACCATCACCGTGCCAGAGAATCCTGTCGCACCTAAAGAAATAGAGAGAACACGTTCAACATTAACCGAACCTAAACCAATCAAACCAATATAGAATGTATCCGGTTAAGATTATACCAAGCAGGAGTTCTTCTCTTGTTCTTCTTCTCTTTGGTAGTGTCTCCCGCGTAAGCATCTGAGTTATAAGAGTACTTATAAGTCGGCGCAAAGAAGATTTTACCTTCGTGCCATCCTTTGAACACTCTCCCTGCGTCTCTTTCAATCTTTAGCTGTCAATTTTCAAAACCGGTTTAACTTTTCTTGATTAGTAACCAACCTAAATATTAGTTTCTTGGGTGGGAAGTAACCGTAAAAGGAAACCTGATCTTTATTGAGAAGTGCGTCCCAAGCGTTTTTATCCAAGAGAGACTTTGTTTCTGAGTAACTTAAAGCTATTCTGTAGTTCAAATCTCCAAGCCAGATGACTCGACTGTGAGAATAATATCACAAGAAAACCTAAAATTAGCGAATAGAGAAAATAGGGTAAGATGATGATCATTGTTCTTAGTTCTTACTCATGTTTAGTGATTCGATGAGGGACACGTGTGAAAGACGTTCTACAGATTCTAGGGAAACTTGTGTTCTTCAGAATCTCAATAACATCAGAGTTTCTACGACGTTCATCTCCTTCTCTCTCGCCAGAAGCTAGATGACTGCAAATGAAGCAGAAGCTCGTCTTGTAAAGCTGCAAACTCACAGCTACGCATCCCTATGAAGGTGAAGAAGAGAATATCAGAAACAGAGTATTTTAGGTTAAGTGTGAAGAGTTGTAAAAGTAAGTGTTACCTTGTTTCCCAAGCAACCCATGATTCCACGGCTGACACAGGAGATTCTAAGATGAGTCACATGTTGAATAAGTTCTTTTCTCATCCACACGGTCAAGAATATTCCCACCATTTGCTTTGATGCCACAAGACCATACTTCATCATCATCTGGTTGCTTACAACAGAAGCAACCTTCCCTCCTCCTTCCTCCTCTTCATCTTCTTCTTCATCATCATCATCATCTTCTTCTTCTTCTTCGTCATCATCAGAGAATAAATCAGTTTGGTTAACAAAATATTCTGGACATCTGAAACAAGATTCTCTCCCATACTTCTTCACAATCTCTTCAGAGAAGGAGTTGCAGTTACAGATCTTCAGCTTCCTCCTACACCCCGTTCTGAAGTTTTCACTTATCTTCTTCAAAGAAGGTTTCACAAAGAACATGGAGCCAGCTCCAAAAGATGGTGGTTTAGGTACAAATCTTCCACCAGAGGATGATGATGATGATGATGAGGATTTGTTCAACGACTGGTTGATCATAGCTAACCATTTAGCAGCAGGCTCGTTGTCTCCAAGGACAAGAACATTTCCAGCATTCAATGGAACAATCTCCTGAAAACTAATGAAAAAAACATAACTCAAGACATATATCTATGCAATATTTAGAGAAATCAAGAAAAGAAAAAGTTACCCTAAAACGTATATATCAAACTCGCTGTGGACGTGAAGCAAGGAATCAAGATCAAGACCAGAGTGTGGAGACTTTCCTCCAACGTTCCATGTTGCCACAAAGACTCTTCAAATGAGATCATAAAAACAAAAACATTTAGAATATGAAAACAGAGGAGCTCTGTTTCTAGGGTTTATATAACAAAAAGAAGACTTTAATTACAGAACAAGTCAAGAAATCTATCTGCAGAGAAAGCATGAACACAGACCTCAAGGACTGGAGTTGCTGAGCAGGCATTGAAGATCTGAAATTGCTTGAAGATAACAAAGATTCAACTACTATCTCGGATTGAGACTCTACAAAAAAATCAAAAACAAAGTCCAAAAAAATATCTGCAAAATATGAGACAAATACAACAACAAAAATCTGATGCAACATATAGACAAACACAAACATATATATATAGATACAGAGTGACATACTTTTATTTAATATATAGAGTGGATCCGACATGATTATTTTGCAAAGACTAAAGATGATTTTGCTTTGGAGCTTTCTTCTTCAGGTTTGGTCTCTGATGGAACAGAGAAGAATTAAAAAGAAACTATTGCAGAAGAAGGGAAGAGTTCAACTGCAAAAGAGGACATATCTTATCATTAATTTTATTTTGTTTTATGCAAAAATGCTTCGGTGTTCAACCCGTTTTTTACCTTATTTTTTTTTATATTGAAAAAAGAAGAGGTCTTTATCAGGTCAAGAAGCAAAGATAAGAAAGAATTTTTAAAATATTTTGAATGAATATATTCTGAAAAAGTCTTAAATCAAGAACACTGTTCCCTTTCCTTGATACTTATATACCCCCTTGTTTCTTTTCTTTTTATTATACAAATCTTCTTCTTCATTTTTCATTTAATTTTTCTATGGTGTATAGACTTAGGTTACATTATATATATGTTACCTTATGATGCATCCTTTGACCGAACTTTTGATTACTTCAATTATAAAGTAACGTTCTTTAGTGCAATATGCATTTACGTATGAATTGTATATGTCGAGAGCCTAGAGCTCTCCAGTTAATTTGGTTTAATTTTTTTTCGAGAAAGCAATTCTACTTTAGTTTAATTAATACAGTTTTGGTCTTACAATAAAAACAAATGAATTCTCTGGTAAACTAGTTGGCAGATTATAATAGATTTGATTTAATTGAATATGACATTTAAGCATCGGTGTATATTCTGCACGATTAAAACCAAGTTGGTGCGATATTCTTTGAAGATGATGTTAATTATCATATCTTTACTACAAGACAGGTAAGATGCGTTTTTATGGATTAACAAAATCAAATCGGTTTCTTTAATTAGTTTTATTCATTTCATATTTTACCTTCCTTTTTTTGCAAAAATAATACTTCACGGATCAGAGCAGGCAAAATCACCTATCACACCAAACCGATAGATGCAAAAATGATAATTTATCAAACCAAAACATTTATTACGTCGTTTGTTTTTTTTTATCTCAAAGATAATTTCTGTTCTATGGATTTAGGGGCCTAATTTTTTTTTTTTTTGGGCTTATATACATGTAATTTTTTCAAAAAATTTTGGAAGCCAAAACCGATTTTCATCCGGTTTTGTCCAACACCGGCCCTGACGATTAACCATACCATTAATGAGTGTTAAACCGGTAATCAATTCATCAAGAAGTCTTCTTAATTATCGTATTACCAATTCCTTCGTAGTTAAATACAAAATAACTCAAAACACATAAAAGCTTCAACGTCGTTACAGAAATTTCTCAAGACAAACAAAACCAAAACCCGAGTTAAGACCTTCGACTTGCTGAACCGGAGTCTCGCATCTCCCAAGCCGGTTTACTCTCTCTAGAGACATCAGACTTGATTGCTCTAACCAATGGCTTCATCACTAACAGGTACTGCAATTCAAATCATCACCAAAACATGGATCAAGAAACGTATTCCTCAAGTAACTATCTCTATTTAGAAAGTTTATTCTGAGTAACTACATACAGCTTAAAAACTGTATTGTTACTGAATGGTGTTTAGAGGCTTACTTGGAATGTAAAGATTAATGGAATTAGTCGTTTCCATCTCTCGTTCGGGTTTGGCCCTTCCACAAGTTTCTTGTCAACGTGAATCGACTTGTTGCCATTAAAGGAGATCTCTGTAACTGTCTTGAACAGACTGGGAATCCAACTAGTTCCCCCTGGAAGAATCTGTCACAGAAATCACAAGATTGACAATACTAAAAAGATGCAAGAAAATAGATATAAATGGAAGAAAGAAACCAATTAACTAACCTTTTCCTCGCTTTCATTCTTATGACACCTTCCACTGTTCTCAACAAGTATGACAGGTATCAATGAATCCTAGAACAGAAGACTTTAGAGGTTAGTAAGATCTATTAACATAACAATTTCAAAACTAGTAGATATAAGAGGAGTCTGTAATACCTGCAAATCCTGTTTCTTGAGCTGAGCAGCAGCACGAATCAATTTCAAGAGAGCATCAGATCTTCTAGAGACGAAGAGATCATAATTTAATCCGTCAGGTGGTGTGAACTGAGCATGACTGAGGACAAGAGCAGACTTCTTCCATATCTCTTTACCAAATGCATCTGTTATAGCCGTCACCACCTGCCTATCCAAGTCATCGACCCGGTATACATCCAAACGGTCTACGTATAGTAGCACATCTATAGTCTTGTTCAGGAGAAATCTGTTCAAAATTACCGATAATGATTAAACAGATGAGTTTAAAATTAGGAGAAGGGAGCCAACATACATACCCTTTGATAAGGTTGACGGCTTGATCATTAACATATCCTCCCTCAATAAGACCAGGAGTGTCGATGATGTTTAATGTAAAACCAGACCTTGAGCGAGAGACCAAGGACGGTCTCAATCCTTCAGACTATAAATAAGAAAACCAACACACTTTACATAAGAAATTGAAATTTTACCAACAGTCATGACATGAAGAGAAGAGGATAAAACATGGTACCTGGAAAGTACTGACTGCAGCAGCTTTTTCTCCTACAACTGAATTAACAGTAGAAGACTTTCCAACACCGCCTTTCCCCATTACAAGTACTGTTAGCGAGCTCACATCCTACACCATTGTTTACCTCTTCCACGTCAGAAACTAGGGATACATCAAACAAGTATGATGAAGCTAGAAATAAGAAAGCAACCTCTTCTTTGAACTTGTCAAGGATCTCAAGCAACTTAGATTGAGTAGCGGATGGGAACTGCTGAATACCAATCCATTCACGAGACATTTGCAAAGCTGCCATGTACACAAACAAACCCTTCCTCGCCCTACACTTTTGGTGAAGAGAAATAGAAGATTAGAATCTACATAATAGAATACAAAGAGCAGAACTTGGCCTAATTAAACAACAGCTGTTTGATTCCACTGCCTTGAATCAATTCTAGAGCTTTCTATCAAGTGAAATCTCTGGAAACCATAAAGTAAATAACTTTTTCACTAAACAACACAAACCCTTCAACCAGTTCCCTTCAAGATCCCTTATAGGCTATAGCAGAAAGCATCAGTGATTAGACCAAGAAGAACTTATAACTTAAGCACTGATTAGGTTTCACTAAAAGAATCAGAACCCAAAATCCTGAACTGGGTCAACAGGTGACAGATCAAATGAACATACTTGTAAGTAGAAAAAGAGACAGAGATAGTAACCTGTCGGAGCTTTGAGTTATATCAGTCGCCGGATATTCTCTGACCTCGAATCGAATTAAAACCCTAGATATAAAATTTTGACTTTTCAAAGGTGATTGATTAATTGCTACAATCAATGTCAACCGGACTAAACCGAATATCGGTCAAGCGAATTAAAACCTAACCTATTGATGGGCTTTAAAGCCCAATAAGAAACTAGAAGCGGCCCACATTACTTAATCACACACTACTATATTTAATCTTAACTCCTTTCATTTTTTTTTTAATTACTTAGCGAGCTCCTGCGAATGATCAGTCTCTGGTAACGTCTTCTTCTCTCGCTCTTAGCCTTCGTTCCTGTTCATGCTTTCGGATATCATGTGTAGAGAATGTTCTCTTTAGCTGCATTTATGTGGAAGCGTATCTCAGATCTCCATCGTTTGTTGTGTGTTCCTGAATTTTACTCGCTTGTGTTGGTTTTTGATTCTACAGTTACGTTTCTGGATAATGTGCTTCTGATACTCTTAGATCCGATCCGTTTGATCAGCAGGATTCTTACGAATTCGTTTAGTGTTTTTCGTTTTGATACGTTAGTTGAACCAAGCGAGGACGGCCTAGTAGTCTTGAGAGAGCTTCGGTCCCAATACAACCCGGGTTCGAATACCGCTGGCCATAAAATTTAAAATCTGGGCTTTTCCAGCGTCCGGTGACCGAAGCGTACTCCCGCCGATAACGTAGGTTGATACGGACACTAACCGCTAGTCTGGACCACTTTGGTGGTTGCCAGGATACACCGGGTTATTCAAAAAAATAAAATAAGATATGTTAGTTGAGTCTCTCATGAGGAGAAGCTAGAGATCTCATCACATTTAACGCGCTTTATGATTCTTCTGAATATCTAACCTCGTGGTTGTATTTCAGATTCACAACACCGTTCTTATAGCTGCTGGGAGTATTAGAACTTGCAAAACAGATCAAAATGGTATAGAGTTCTATTTAATGATTTTGTTGTATATACATTTTGTTGTTGTGAAGTTTTATTGTTGTTAGTCTGATTATTAGCACAATGCTGAAGTTTGTAACCTGTGGTTTATATCTAGGTCGTGACTAATGCCTCTATTGTGACCAAGTCTGGAAAAGGTGAATGATTCGTGTATTTTCATTTCACAGTTATATATATATCCTCATTGATAATGATAATCAATTATCTTTTTTTTTTTTAATTATTTATGCGTTGTTCTTTTTTTTTCTTACAGTGCTTGTTTCCAGACAATATGTGGACATGTCACGTATTGTAATTGAAGGCTTGCTTGCAGCTTTTCCTAAACTTGTTGGCTTGGACAAGCAGCATACCTATTTCGAGACGGAGAATGTGCGATATGTGTATCAGCCTATTGAAGCTCTCTTCCTGCTTCTTGTTACTACTAAGCAGAGTAACATTCTTCAAGATCTCGACACCCTCAGGCTGCTCTCCAAACTTGTATGCTTCTTTCTCCTCTTATATGTTTCATTCGAATACTTTATTTTTGATTCATTGAGTCTGCATGTGTATTATTAGTACTTAGTTATTCGGTAAGTGAGTGTACCTATTTTTGCTAGCACATTATCTTCACTGAAGCTTGGCAGCTCTTATTTTCCTCAACTTTGGTTTTCAATTAAGGGTGGGAGGGCATTTATGTTACTAAACTGACGAAGTCTGGGCATGCCGTTTGATCTTTTGGCCGTTTCTAGGTACCTGAGTATGCTATGTCTTTAGATGAAGAAGGGATTGAGAGGGCTAACTTTGATCTGGTACATGCCTTTGATGAAGTCATATCTCTTGGGCATAAGGAAAATGTGACAGTTGCCCAGGTGAAGCAGTACTGTGAAATGGAAAGCCACGAGGAGAAGTTGCATAAACTGGTAATGCAGAGCAAGATCAGTGACACTAAAGACGTGATGAAACGTAAGGCTAATGAGATTGATAAAAGCAAGGTACATCACATTCGCAGCACCCTGTTTCTTGTGTTATATTTGTAACTCCTTTTGATATTTCATATGCAATTCACAGATTGAAAAGACAAGAGGTGATAAGGGTGGATTTTCGTCTATGAGTTCAATGGGATCTGGACGACTTGACAGCATTTTCAGTGACTTGAGCATATCTCAAGGTGGTGGCAATGGTTATGGAAGTGGTCTTGGGTTTGGCATGATTTCAGATTTTGATCCGCTCACTACCAAGGCGAAAGGTTAGTGTAGTGCTCCAAACAATCATTTGTGGCGTGTTCAGCGCCTCTATTTCCTGGTTTACTTCAAACAATCATCTTCTTAACCGTTCTTAATCTCACAGATCAATCACGGTCTACCGTCACTGCTCCTCCTAAGAGTTCTGGTATGAAACTTGGCAAGTCGGGAAAGAACCAGTTAATGGAGTCCCTTAAAGCCGAAGGTGAACACATCGTCGAAGATGTTAAGCCTACTGGCCAAACAAGAGAAGCTGTCCCACCTTCAACTGATCCTTTCACGTTAACTGTCGAGGAGAAGCTCAGTGTGGCATTGAGACGCGATGGTGGAATCAGCAGCTTTGATATGCAGGGAACCCTATCACTTCAAATTCTTAACCAAGAAGATGGGCTTGTCCAAGTTCAGGTAATCCAGCTTCCATTTTTTTTTCTAAATTTATTTCCGAAGAGGGGCCTTTTACAGTGTTCTCGAATTTTTCTTATGAGACTTTGTATCTTTTACTTTGTTTTCAGATTGAAACTGGTGGGAATCCTGAAATTATTTTCAAAACGCATCCCAACATCAACAGAGAACTCTTTAATAGCGAGAGTATTCTAGGCCTAAAGAGACCTGATCAGCCATTTCCCACTGGTCAAGGTGGAGATGGTGTTGGTCTTCTGAGGTGGAGAATGCAAAGAGCAGACGAGTCGATGGTACCACTAACAAGTAAGTCTTTTGTAGATTAGCTTTGACAGGTTTTACATGTGAATGTTTGACCCAATCATCATGGAAATCGTTTTGCAGTCAACTGCTGGCCTTCAGTCTCTGGAAACGAGACATATGTGAGCATCGAGTATGAAGCCTCGTCGATATTTGATCTAACTAATGTTATCATCTCCGTACCTCTTCCTGCTCTGAGAGATTCACCAATCGTTAAACAATGTGATGGGGACTGGAGGTTTGATAATTAATTAGCTTCAAGTTTTCTCTCTGGTCATATTGAGACGCAACTCATAATCGTTTTATACAAATCGTAAGAACCAAGCATACCTTTGGTGAATAATAACAGGTACGAGTCGAGAAGTTCTGTTCTGGAATGGTCAATACTTCTTATCGACAACTCCAACCGCAGGTAAATTAATGATGACAAGATCTGTTATATGTAGTACATCTTTTATTTGGCAAGATATATGTATGACATATGAAAAATCATGTGCAGTGGGTCAATGGAGTTTGTAGTGCCACCAGTTGATTCATGTGTGTTCTTCCCCATCTCTGTTCAGTTTGCAGCCACCAGTACATACAGTGGCTTAAAGGTATGAGATCGACTTCAAAACATCAAAAAGGCTCATTTATGGTGGATTATAACATATAAATGAGAGATGTGTTCATCATAACGGTGGTGCAGGTGACGGGAATGATTCCTCTGAGAGGCGGTGGTGGTGGTGGTACGACTCCAAGGTTTGTGCAGAGGACGCAGCTGATTGCACAGGATTACCAAGTCGTATGACAAGGCTCTGTCATTTTTTTTTTGTTTACTGCTTCTAAACTATGGATTATATCTTAATCATCTGGTATTTTGCTAGTTTCTTTGTCGACTTTATTCTGAGACAGTACTATACATCCATTATTATTATTGTTTCTTTCTCGACTTAATCTTCTGGTATTTTGCTAGTTTCTAGATTTTGCTTTGTTCTCAAGTAACCATAATAACTCCTTGCAGTTTGTTAACACCCAAGTGTCATGGTTGTTATTTATAATAATAGTAACTTTACGAGTGTATGATAATTGTAGAATCTGTCAATGGTCTCATTTGATGAGCTTTTGCTTCTAGATAGCCATATGAAAATAAAGTTTTATCGTTCCAGCACTTCCTCTTAATTTATCTATTATTGTTTAATTCTAAATTTATTTTTTCACTTGAAAAATTACCGAAAATCTTGGAAGCTATTAGAGGACTACAAAACTTGTTAGAGAGAGAGACAAGACAAAACTGCAGAGGATTGGTCTGCAAAAGATTATTAAGGAAAGAACAAGAAAAAAAGAGAGAGAGAGAGATAACTAAATAACAAAGATAGAGAAATCCCCAAAACCCATAATTTTGTTCCCTTTAATTTGGTTAATACCAAATAAAAAATAGAAAATTTATGAAAACGCAGCTAATCTTGTAGAAAAATATTCATATTGAAAGATAGGCTTCATGTGTGGGTTTGTGAGACAAGGGGTAAACAGAAAATGCAGAGGGAGATAATGAGCAAGAAGAAGAGTAGTCAGGTTCATTGTCTTCCCTCTGGTGATCTCATGACAGCTTCTACTTCCAAACGCATCCCTGAGATCAGATTATACAAAACCTGGAAGGGTAACAACGTAATAATAATTTACATTTTCTTTCTTCCCTTTTCATTCAAATGCTCTCTTCTTTTACCTAATGCCAAGATTATATGAATAATAATGATATTTGATTGCATCAGAGATTTTTCTGTGGTGGGAGGCTAATCTTTGGTCCTGATGTATCATCTCTGTTCCTAACCTCCTTCTTGATTGGAGCTCCTGCTCTTACATTCTGCATAAGGATGCTCGTCTGGATCCGAAGAGGCGACCCTTCCTTCAACTACACCGTTCTGACTTCAGGATTTATCCTCACCCTCTTGGTTTAAACTCCTTTCTCTCCAACTTCTTTCAATCATCTCCCTTCCTTAAAATGCTGATTATCTTTTTACATCCTATGGTTTGCAGGACTTTATGTTTCTATTGTTGACATCAGCTAGAGATCCAGGAATCATCCCTAGGAACAAAACATCATTGCATCTTGAAGATGGCTCAGAGAGTTCTTTAACACAATCTATGGAATGGGTCAACAACAAAACTCCTCATCTCAAGGTTCCTAAAACAAAAGACGTTTTCGTTAATGGTTACACTATCAAAGTCAAGTTCTGTGATACTTGCTTGCTCTACCGTCCACCACGGGCGTCACACTGCTCCATATGTAATAACTGTGTCCAACGCTTTGATCATCATTGTCCATGGGTTGGACAATGCATTGCTCGTGTAAGTTCTTGATCTCAATATATATATGCTCTTTGTTTTAGAGAGTAATGACTCTTGGTGTGAAACTTTTGCAGAGAAACTACCCATTCTTCATCTGCTTCATCTCAACTTCAACATTGTTATGCTTATATGTCTTTGTGTTCTCGTGGATCAATCTAATCAGACAGCCTGGGAAACTATGGAGGACAATGTCTCATGATATAGTCTCTGTCATTCTTATAATCTATACATTTGTTGCTATCTGGTTCGTTGGTGGCCTAACCATTTTCCACTTCTATCTAATGTCAACAAATCAGGTAAAGAACATACTTTAAAATCTTTTTATCTTACCTTAGGCTTTGACATCTTTATTGTGTTGTGTCTATCTTTTTGCAGACAACTTATGAGAATTTCAGGTACCGTTATGATAAGAAAGAAAATCCTTACAAGAGAGGGTTACTAAAGAACGTTAAGGAAGTGTTCTTTGCTAAGATCCCACCTTCTCAACTAGATCTCAGAGCAATGGTACCAGAAGAAGATGACTTGACAATAGCATCTGAGTATCAATCAGAGTATAGCTCATCTGTCAGATATGATTCAGAAATGGGAGGGAAGCTCACTAATCGAGATAGTCCAAAGAAGCTTCCTATGCGCACAAGAAACTTAGATAATATTGACATTAGTGATGACTATGACAAATCTCTGGCTACTAGAGATGATATTGCGCTTGATCTTTCTTCTCATCTCAACTAGACACTCCCCAAGTAAATTGAAATGAAGAGAACCTCTTAATGTTGTATCCCTTTTTGTCTATATTGTTTTCTGATGTATGTGTCCATTGTCATATCCAAAGATCGAAGTTGTAGGGACTAGAACACCAAAATGTTTATTATTTGGCTTCATTGGCAAAACATAATTATCTCCCAGAATGAGAAATCTTCAGACAAGTAAAAACAAAACAACATTTTAGGTTTCAAGAGCGTTTGATACAATGAGTGAGAAATAGCATCATCATAGTCTCTTCAAGCTCTTCTTTCTTGCGTCTACCTTCTTCTTGTCTGCCTGAACCTTGGCCAAACTTGCTTCCCTTTTCTGTGTTGTAGTTACCACACTTGCAGAACCAGCAGTGGCTGCTGCTACAGGAATGTTAGCTACTTCTTGTTGGCCTTGGCCACTCGTTGTTACTCTGTTGATGTCTGCCACTGAGGAGGGTATTGCAGAAGCAGCACTAGGAGTCTCGTTGTTAGTCTGACCAACATTTAGAGCCGTTGTTGACTCTGAGATAGCTCCTGTCTTGAACTTAGGTTTCGGTTTAGCATGGATACTCGTGTAAAGCCTGCGTACAAGTTCAGTAGACATTAATTTCTTGTCCAACAGAATTTTGGATGACGTATGAGACCAAAGTAGATGACTCACCGAGCATGCCTAGCATACTCTTCATAGTTCTCGAGTAGCATCTTTCCAGCCTGTTCGTTTAATGCAGATTCTGGAAACGGCTCGATTAGTAAGCACCTAACAACCTATCAACATGTACACACACACACACAAATATCTCAGTCTCAAGTATTAAGTATTTTAATCAAAACATTAGCGTCAAGCTACTTACAGAGAGGACATGTCTTAATCCAAGACTAGGGTTCCAATCTTTCTTAAGCGTGTTAACGCAGATCTCTCCATTAGAAGCAATATTAGGATGGAATATCTTTGTCATGAAGTAGCCTACAATGTGCAGACCCAAGAGATCATTAAAAACTTCTAGTATATGTCTATAACATCTTAGTGGTCCGTCAAGTTAAGTGAGATGCATACCTTTAGGTGGGGAATGCGGAAAATCATGGGACAGTGCTAACTTCATACGAAAAAGTCCATTCTCATAAGGAGTCCCAACTGTAAGCAATAAAGGAAGAAGAAGAACATGTTACTTTCAACTCACTCAACACTGTAATATGGAATTGATAGGGATATATGATAGTGCACCTGGTCCTTCAATGTCAGCACATATCTGTGAGAAATCCTCGTCATTGACCACAACCTTGATGCCTTCAGGAGGAGATTCGTCAAGACTCTTCAGTTCCTTGGCGAGCTGTCTGATAACATTTGGTGGTAGATTCTCATTACTTCCCTGAGCATTCAGAAACACCATCAAAGGCAATTTCATAAGTTTCAAAGTAAGCACAATTCTATTTCGACGCAGGAAAAACACATAGAGAGGGAGAAAGATAACTACCATGGAGAATAATAAGTGCAAAAGGACCCTCTGCAGAAGTAACAAACTGAAACCAATGTGATCAGTTCCTTTTCAGGTCTTCAAGACTCAAATGCGATCAACCTGAGCCAAAACCACACACAAAAGGGGTTAATACATACCTAGCTTCCTTAACAAAGTAAGTTACTATACATTAACATTTCATCAAGTCATAGATTCATCTATGCATCAAAGAAAATCAATGAAAGTAAGGTCATTGAGCTAATCGTTGAGGCAAAAAAAAAAACTAAACTTTGATCTCTTAAAGAAGGGGGAAGTTACTAATTCAATGAGAGTAAAGCGTGATAAGTGAAATCAGACCTAAATAAGTGCCATCGATTGAGGAATCAAAAGAAACCCTAAAATGAAAAATTGGGATCTAGCTTAATTGACTCTAGGGTTTCAAAGAAAAACTCAATTCGAGGTAAGATACATACTAAAATCGAAGAGATCCGAGAGAGAGAGAGAGAACATATACAAAGAGCAAAGAATCAAAAATTTTCATCAAAAAATCAAATCACCTTCTCAGGGAATCGAGATACGATGCAGAGAGTGAGTAAAGTCGATTCCTTTCTCTCCTATGAGTAGTGATTCAAGTTGAAATCGAGAAGAGAGTGGTTCAATAATTGTAATTTTATATGAGAGAGAGATGCTTTACTATTAAAAAGAAAGTTAAAGGAGCGTGTCTACAAAAGAAAGAAAATTGAGGGTACTTTTGTAAATATAAATATTTATTCTGCCAGCCTGGACATGACCGTTAGTATGTCTTCTTCTTCCCACCCGCCAACTACTAGCTAGCCGTTACTTGTGTCAGGTGTTACTTTAAACCTTCGAATTTATGTAAACCATATATTGATGTTATAATTATTAAGGAAAACAGCTCTTAATACATAATTTAAGTACATTGAAGAGAATTTATCGTGTATAACATACAAGATTTGACATTCTTTTCCTACAATTTTTAGGAAGTAGACATAGCTTAATCTAGTTTTGTAGAAGTTACCAAAAACATAAATGTGCGACCTAGGTGAAGTATCGGAAGGAAGATTTGTTGTTAGTATGGTAGTTACTAACCTTATATTAAATATGGTCTACCAATCGGAAGGAAGATTTTTTTTTTTGTTCAAAAAAAAGACTTCATGATATTTGTTGATCAATTATGAATAAAGAAAGGCAAGGAATGTGCTTATTACTACTCCATGAACTGACTAGTCTCCAATGAAATAACACCTTGTGACTTGTGAGACCAATGTCAAGAATTATAAGAAAAAAAAAACCAAAATATATAAAAACGAAAAAAATAACTTTACTAGGCCATAATTTTGTGTGAATAAATAATTATCGACATGCATTTTAAATGATGTCTTTTATTTATAATTTTAAGGTTGGCTGTATCAAAAACAAATTATTAAAGTTATAGCCCTCGGATTCTCTTAACATGCTGAAATTTTAACAGTTGAAACAGAGATATTGTTCAACTAAACCTTTTTTGGAAAGAATGTTATAAATAGGCCACACACTTTATGGACCCGTCCAGGTAGAGCAACCTGGCCACTTAGAAATGAAAGCTTTCTGATGTAAAAGCTTGATAATGTTAATAATAAATTTTAATAAAAAAACAATGAATATGTGTCAATGTTTCCAACAAGAGCAGAAGAAGAAAAAAAAAACTAAGACTACATCTATAAAAGCATATAGACATGGATTTGATCAGGACCAAAGGTCAGGGATTCTGGTGCCTGCAAAAAAAAAACACGAGCAAAATGGTCAACATGAGATATACAAAGCGTTTAACAGAGAGTAGCTGCTCTGTTTCTTAAATAGACGTATAGTCTATCTAGTTTGTCCTTCCCCAAACTAGTTTTATTATATTTAATTAATTATTTTTGACATTGACATACCTAAACACAACTTCCAGTAAACTAAACAAACACATAACAACCGAAAATTAAGAATTTATGTGCCGTATAGATCCAAAATAAAGTTAGGTATAAAACTTCAATATGAACTTATAGTTGTTCAGACTCTTAAGAACACAATAGCATAAACCATAAAGATAGAATCTCTTAGCTAATTTCATATAGCTCTCTCCAGCAGGGAGAATAGATGTATTAACTGTTGGAGCTATTTTTACACCTATTGGACTGAGTAAAAATTAAGTATGTGCGAATAGAATTTTACAAATTTATTAAATTAGGTAAAAGATATTATCTAATGTAAAATAAATATTGTACTTTATATAAAAAATATCACATTTTGTAAGTCTGAATAAAATGTGAGAATTATCTATGGACAATAAAAAAGTCTTTTAACAAATTGATGACTAAACTGAATTTATTTAATGATAAATTATTTAAATTAAGTAAATTTAACGACTAAGATATCTTAGTGGCGAAGCAACTTAGTGACAAACGGCCTAAATTAAAACGCGCGTGGTAAACAAAAATAACTTAGTGACAAATGGCTAAAATTAAAATATACATCGTAAATAACCAAAATAACTTAGTGACAAATGGCTAAATCTTAGTAAACTTACTGACAAATGTCAAAGTTACTTCGTGACCAAGTTTTATGAATCTTTCTTATAAATAAACATCTTATCTCCCCCCTTAAACTCTCATCTCATTCGTACATAATAAGCTTACAAGGTTAGTTCTCTCATACAAAATTTCAAAGTAAGTCTCGAAAGTATAACGTGGTTGTTAAGTTCACAGATTTTATTTTAGATGATGCAAAACAATTTCACGTGATTTTATCCTGAGATTCAAAAATCATACGTAAACCATCTCACATACGGCGGTTTATCGAGTTAACTTTATCACAACTCCTCATATTCGTATATTTTCATATCGTTTTTCAAACGTTTTACCATCGTTATCATCACATTTTGTTTTGTAATTTTATAATATGGATTCATTCTCCTGTCCTAACATTAACTTCATCTCTTATGGGTTTGAGTAAGAAAATGATAATCTCATTAAGATAACTTACCATTTTCAGCAGGAGACTTTCTGTTTTGAGTATGGGAGAGGAAGACTCCAACTGGTTAGCTAAATTGGAAGAAGAGCTTCTGCCGCCTGAGGAGCTCACACCATCATCTCAGTCGCCTCAACCCGCGCCGACACAAGCCAACTCCTCACCTGACATCGCCGGAGATGAACCAGCTCGGCCTCGGCCGCGGCCGCGTTTTGTATGGACACCACAGCGGCACAAGCATTTCGTAGACACTGTGGAGCATCTCGGTATCGACAGAGCTGTTCCTAGAACCATCGTGGAGCATATGAACATCGAGGGGTTAACCAGAGCAATCGTCGCTAGTCATTTGCAAAAGTACCGACTTAACCTCAAGAGGAAGCAGTCTGAAACTGAAAGGGGAAGAGGATACGTTGGTGGGTCTGGTTATCTCATCAGACCATCGACGTTGCATCTGTATAGTCAAGTGGCTAATTACGCAGGAGGATTTGGAACCAGGAGCCTAGACGGTTTTGACACTGTTTCCAGCAGCTCGAGAAGTTTAAATAATTATTACAGATCCGGTTACTACAACAAGGGTCTTTGATGGTTATGTATTTCTGTTACAAAGTATCTTTTCTTTTACTTTTACTCTGTTTCTTTCTTTTTGTTTGTGTGTTTTTGCTTATGGGTTTAGACTTGTCTCGTACTATTTGCACCAAATAATATTATAAAAGCATTTGCAGCTGCTAACTCTCTCTCTTCCTTCTTGTGAAGTTCAAGAATCTGATAATAACAAAATCCATATTGTATACGTATAGCAAACCAAAAATGTTTATCTAATATATTGACCAAACCATTGATTCAATAATAGTAAAGTGTATAGAGAACATGAAGCAGCCAAAAAGCAAAGACAAGACAGTGCCAGGCATAATTTGAACACCAAGATCTGGTGCTCTCATATCCTTAATCATATCATTATTATTATAGTATGGGGACCAAACCCAATCAAGATTTTCTTCTATTAATTAGATGACAATGGTAGAGCAACCTGGCCACTTAGAGCATCTCCAACTCCACTCTATAATTTACTGAAAAATGGAGTGATGAAGAAATAAAAAAGTGATTACTCCATATTTGGAGTAATGAGATTTTTGTTTCTTCATCACTCCATTCTTCACTCCATTTTGGAGTAAAATATGGAGTGGGATTGGAGATGCTCTTATAAATGAAAGTTTTCAGATGGTAGAGTTTGGTGATTTTGATGCAAAAGCTTGATAACGTTAATATAACTTTGTAACAACAAGAGTGAAAATGTCTTTTGCGGCAAATGTTTCCAACATGAACAGGAGATAAGAAAACTAAGTCTACATCTAAAAAAGCGTACAGACATGGGTTTGATCAGGACCAAAGGTCAGGGATTCTGGTGCCTGCAAGACCAAAAATAGTCAAAACATGAGATACAAAGCCTTTAACAGAGAAGATGAAGGAAAAGTTCATAAAGAGTGAAGCTAACCTGAAAAGATTTGGGTCTGAAGCATTCAATGTCTGTGCATAAGTCCTCGTGGCACTAGGCCACTCTGTATAAGAAGGTGCGTTACTAGAAGACATAGCCGGGTTTAAAGGATGCACATAGTTTAGATTGGCTTGAGTTCTTGGCATCTGTGGGAAAACTCCATCATGAAACGGAAGCTGAACTGGCATCAGGTTGAAGTTTTGTACAGGTGGCGTAACCCTCACGTACCTACAAAACATTACAGTTTAAATTCCATGAAAAAACCATTACCATTAGAGAAGATGAAGAGGGTTTTGTTTACCTGTTCCGGTCATAATCAGGATCATAACGATCCTTCTCTCTATCTCTAATAATGGCGACACGTGAGGTCCTTCCTGATTCTCTCACAACACCATCCCTCTCCACATCAACAAAATTCACAGTCTCGTTTCTAGTTGGGAGTCTACTGTTGTTATGTCTTGTCTGAACAGGAGGAGGAGGAGTAGGAGCAACTCGTGTCGAAGAATCTTCAGAGTCCGAGCTATTAGGACTATTAAAGATCCTCGCCCTAGCCTTCTCATACTCCTCTTTCCTCTCCTCAACACTCCTCAAAAGATTCTTCTCCACACCTGAACCACCACCTACCCCACCACTTCCTCTATCAGGCCTAGCCTTGATGGCGAGTTTGAAACCTTGAGGCCTCCTACCGTTAACCTCAGGCTGCTTCACAGGAATCTCAGACAAACAGACAAAAGGGTATCTACTCTCCACAGTCTTGCTCACCAAGATTCTATTCTCAGAGCCGTCTAAAGCACCACCGTCTAAAGCAGTGGTGAAAAGACCGTAATGGTGAGCAACACGGTGAGCAGCGAGACGGAGATAAGAGGTTGGATATGGAGGGAACTCGTATTGTTGCTGCTCTGGGCTTTGAAAAAACTTTTGTATATCCAGCTCCATACGCAAAACTAAGTATACACCAAAACACACAACATTCAAAAAAAATGATTAAACATTAAAAAAAAAAAAGAAAAATCAGTGCTTTTTGTATTCTTAATTGAGCTAGAAGCAGACATGGGTCTAAATAAGCCAAACCCTATTCTCTAAATTCTCCATGAGTAAATATAACGAACCCTAAAGACTACAGCTTTAGATTTAAAAAAAAAACACAAAACGACCAAAACACAAAATTAAAAAAGAAAAACTGATTAAACAGATAAAAATCTAATGAAAAATCAGAGCTTTTGCATAGCCATGGATCTAAATTAGCCAAACCCTAATCTCAAAAAACTAAACCTAGAATTCTCCATGAGTCAATAACGAACCCTAAAGACTAAAGCTTTAGATAAAAAAAAAAAACACAAAATTAAAAAAAAAAAACTGATTAAACAGATAAAAAATCAAAGCTTTTGCATAGACATGGATCTAAATTAACCAAACCCTAATCTCTAAAAGCTAAACCTATAATTCTCCATGAGTCAATAACGAACCCTAAAGACTACAGCTTTAGATTAAAAAAAAAAATTGAGTTCAAATCAAAAGGGTTTGTAAGAGAAATTGAGTTACTGGTGAGACGATGACGAGGGTTCTGAAGAGCTTCGACGAGGAAAGGATCAACCATAGCTTCCTTCTCGCTCATAGCTGCAGCCATGGAAAGGTTGCTCTTTTATCTCAAAAATTCCTTTTTTTTTAATTAAACAAGGGGGAAAGAGAGAAGGAAGGGCGGAGAAAGATTTGAACTTTCGTGATGATGAGAATCGGAGAAGATAATACCCAAATCGATTAGATTGACAAAATCGTAAATCCAAATCGAAGATGGTGAAGGGAAGGAAGGGGAAATGACCTTATTGACCCTTACCTATCTCTCTCTGTTATGTGTATTATAATAATAATATAAAAGTTTCAACGTTTAAAGCCCAAAGTTGTTGCTTTGGGGCCCAACAACTAAAGAAGATAGCTTTTTCTTTCGTTAAAGAAAAGTCTTGTGATTTGATGTGGTCGGCTGACTCCAGATTTCAAAAGCTCACACATTCATTATTTTACATGTTTTACTTACAAGAAAAAGATTTTTTTACAGGGCAAACAGTTTTATTTTTCATCACAACATCAGTTTTTTTAGCCTATTCTATAAAAGCTAGTAGTATTTTTTTTTATTCACAGAAAGACACAACCAAACCCAAGAGATATCCAACAAACTCTAGTGAAACTTGCCGTTTTGGTACTTCATCACTTTGACCATGAGCTTCTCTGCTTTGTTTCCCTTCTCTAGCTTCAAAAGCAACTCGAATTTCACACGGTCTTCAACTACCTGATCATCATAATATTCTTTACCTAATTAGATGCTGATTAAAAAGACTGATTATATTGTGAAGTTAGGAACCAACCTTTGCCCTGGCTAGGATTATGTCTATGAGTTTATAAGGAAACAGCGAGTTTGATCTCTGTTGAATCGACTTCACGGCGTGTTTCGCTGCCTCTTGCACTTCAGGGTCATTTGTTGATACTAATCTCCACTCAAATCCCTTCCCATCTGCCTCAAAACAGAGCAATGACATTAAGAACATTAAAGAGTAAAAAAAAAAAACACACACGGTGCTCTTACCTGATTTCAAGCCAAGGTCGGAAACAGTGAAAGAAGGGACAACACTCTTGAACTCTAGAAGCTGCTTGAAGTTAATCCATGGCTTCACCCAAACTTTAGCTTCATAAATCTTCTTCTCAACTCCTTCTTTAACTTCGAGTGTAAGACTGTAGAGTTTCCCAGCAACCACCTGCTCTTTTGCCTTTAATACTCTAGCAAGCTCAAGAATACCATTCTACACATATCAAAGCCATAAACCAATTGAAAAAAAAAAAATTAAAACATGAGCTGATTAATCCTACAAAAATCATAAAATCCATCATTACCAAAATTTTGTTCTGTAGCAAAAAAAAATAAAAATCCAAACTTTAAATCAAGAACAGGCAGAGATGTAATTCATTTAAATTAACACTCAAATGATAAATTTTAGAAACCCTAATTTACTCTAACCCTAATTCCATAGAATATACAAACCTCTCGCTTATTGTGTTCTTGAACAGCAAAGAGTGCTATATCATCGATCTCTCCTCCACCGTTACGTTTATTCGAAGAATCGCTGAATCCACCAAGCTTCATACTCACGACGTCGTTGTACGTTCCTTCTTCTTGACTACAGATCACAAACTGGCCAAATCCAGAGAGGAGAACCAACGACACGCAAAGCAACACCGGTGAGAATCTCATATCCATCGTCTCAAGTAAGCTTCTCTGATTCCTCTGTTTTCGATCTAAACTCTGATGATATTTTGTCTTTAGATACCTAACGATCGCAGTCAGGGTTGGTTTCTTTCGCGGATTAAAAAAGTCTGGTTCCGTGTAAGAGAAGGAAAGGAAGTCACGGGAAACGTTTTATGGGCCAAGATATAGTCTTCAAGCCCATTTTAATTGAGTTATGGACTTTAGCCTATAATTAAGTTATGTGAAGATTTTGTAATTTAAATGACTAACTAGATTTTGATCCGCGCAACCGCGCGAGTGTTTGTTTTCGTTTATAGTTAGTTATATAAATATTTTGCTTTCACTTGTAAATTGGTATATATTATAGTAATCAAATATTTACGGTGTGTATCATAAATATTTTTCAAACATAATAATATTATATAATACATGTTTTAATCAAATAGATTGTTTCCAATTTTTTATATTAAACATGTATTTGTTTCTTCTTCTATATTTTATTGTTTTTTAGATTGGTATTTCATTTTTAGATAAAGTAATATAAATAGAGCTTGATTAAATATTAGTATACTTTAATTTGCAAAGATAATATAAACTTCGAATAATTTTTTGCTATAAAAACTAAATTTATAGCTTCATAAATTAATATTATAAAGCATTTTATTAAAAAAAAAATTTAACAGTTTCTTTTTTTAAAACAATATAATTTTAAAAATTTACATCGAAATAAATTTATCTAGTATATAGCATGAATCTGTGATTTTTATTAATATATTGTGGATGAATTTAACTATTATTGACATATTTACTTATAAATAATAGAAGATTCCTAAACTTATATCTATTGACATATTTTGCGTGATTAAATTGGAAGGTGTGGCGTAATTTATCAAAACCAAATTGTTAAGCGTATCTTTATTATTATAGATATGATTTTTCATAAGATATAATAATAATAAGATTATTAGAGAATTAATGTAACATAACTTTCTAGTAATAGTCCATTTTTAAAAAAAATTATACATGAAGTCAAGTCATGACTTCTGTTTTAATATATAAGATATAAATGGCTTATCTATTGTTACACATGAAAATAATTTAGAAGGCTGGCAATGATGAAAAACCTACAAAAAACTGAAATACAGTTTCTTATCTAAGAGTTTAAAATCATTTTTTCAAAGTTTATTAAAAAGGGCTACTTACTAAATAATTAATGTTTCTTTGACATATAATTAATGTTTAAACTCTTTTTATAGTTTTATGGACCATGTATAGTAAAAACAAATTCAACCATATCTCTAGTTTTTTAAAAGTCATGAATTTCTTTGGAAATCAGTTAATGTTTGGAACTAATTTTGACCAAATAAGCAATTAAGGAAACAAATTAACCAAATAAAGTATTCCACTAAGTGTATCATTTCATTATATCTAGCAATTAAGTAAACAAATCATCCAAATAAAGTATGTCACTAAGTGTATCATTTTCATTATATCTAGTAATTAAATGTGACAGTCAGCTAAATAATAGATTCAGTAGTCAAGTACTTAAGTTAGTTTTTGTTATTTATCAGTTTCCTCAATATATCACTTGCAATTTCCATTGATCTGCATGCAAATTATCTTACTCAAACAGCAGCACAATTATTATATAACTTTCCATTTTAGTAAAAGCACACTTACTAAAGTCTCAGTATTTAAATACCCAATTCAGGTGCAATCACATTCACATAACCAAACCATTAAAGTTGAATCTACAAGAGCCCGATGGATCCAGTCAAGAGGTTGTCTTCGGGGTCGATTTACGCTAGTGATGTTAGTGACGATGGTGCTGCCACCGAGTTGATGGAGCAAGCGACGTACAGATGCAAGTATTGTCCAAAGACTTACTCCAATGGACAAGCATTGGGTGGTCACCAAAATATTCACAGGAGGGATAGAGAGATCAGGGAAAGACAACAACGGGCCATGTTTGCGAATATGAACCAGCCGGGTCCATATCCATATCCATATCCATCTCCGTTTCCTAGCCAGTACACACTCCCGCCAGGATTTGAACAGCGCCGTTACATCGTTGATGGACCAGATAATCTAGATGTGGTCTACAACTCAAGCCAAGGCCCATATCAATCCGTCATGGCCCAACCCCACACTCAATCATTATTGTCAGCATCGTCACCCGTTTGTTTAGACCTTTGTCTAGGTGTTGGAAGTAGCTCACAAGACCAAACGCAAACCAAAGAACCAAACGATGAAACAGAAGAGATGGCTACTGAGACAGAAGATCATGACCTTTCCCTTTCTCTCTCACTCAAGCTGTGATGCTGTAATTTTCTCTTTTAAATAATATTTAACATCGATCTATTTATTTCAGTTTAATTTCAGTTCAGATGATATCCTTTGTTTTCCAGCACCATTATTGTATTAAATTCGAATTTGCTTACTTTAAAAGTATAATATGATTGGTTATGGGATGCATTGTGTAGAAATCAAAGTAAGTATACAAAACTACTAAATGAAATCAGCCTTAACAAATAAGCTGATAAATAAATCAAATTAAGTTTAGAGAACTAACTTATATGTATGCTTATGCATGATATATCCAATATCATAATATGAAGCTAACTACAGAATACGATTAGAAATGTAGATTAAAACCACACTTGAATTAAAACATTTGAACAAAAATAATAAAAGACAACTCAAGATTAAATTTTCTCTTAGAGCAGAGAACAATTAAATTTTCTTGTATTTTATGTATCTAAAATCTGGACACTATGAACAAAGCTAAAAGTGGATATCAAAAAAGAGTAAAAAATCCACAGTCATTAAAAACTGTTAATCTGAAAAGAAAAAAAAACGATGTCAAAAACTAAATAACAACACATTTAAGAAAATAAAAACATGTATTATAAATTGCTCAACAAAGTAGGCCACTAATTTTTTCTTTAAAAGTCTATTACCAATAGGGATAACAAAAACTCTTATATGTATATTATTGATGCGAAATATTAAAAAAAAAAACACTAACTGGAAATAATTAATGTTAATCGTCCCTCGTTATCATAAATACTTGAGCATTGGGTCTAAAAACAACAAGAGCTACGAGAAGATCTTCCAAAACATTGATCTATTATAATCCATGGATATCGTTCTCAAAACAATTAGAGAATGAAAACCACATTTATAGAAACAAGTATAGTAAGGTAAATAACAAAATAACATGGATACTTATTTTAAAAAAACATGGATACTTATTTATAATCCTAAATCCATATTGTGAAAACCTATAGATGGTTATTAACTTACAAGATTTATAATCCTAGAATCCATATTGTGAAAACCTGTACATGGTTATCAATTAAAGATCATAAAATAATCCAAAATAACATCATGAAAAATTGTATAATAAAATAATTACTATCAAACTAATTACAATCACCAAATATTAAGAACTAGGCATAGTTATTTTGTTTACCCTAAAATCCATTAATGTACTCAGTTCGACTTGTTTATATTAAAAGTATAATAGGCATGGTTATTGGATACATGTGTATTTACTTGTCAAAAACTAATAACACTTGCAAAATTATATATAAACCAAAACAGCCTTTTAAAAAACAAGATGTCATCCAATCCTATCATCGTTTATAAGATCACTTACAATGCTGGCTTTGGTGTGTACATGTATTTCTAGAACTTTAATCCACAATCTAAGATATAAAACTCTGAAGATTCTAATTAACAAAGGTAAAAAACCTAATTTTCGATTATTTTTTTTGTTTGCTATTTTTTTCGAACTTTTTTCTATTTTTTGTTTTTTTTCAAATTTTGTTTATCTTAAAACTAAAGTAACTTTACTACTTTAATAATATAATGCAACTTTGAATACTAAACAAAATCAACCTAAAATTGATAAGATGAGAAGAAATCAACATATATGCAGCACTTCAATCCTAGCATTAGAATCATGATAAACACAATCAAAATGAGTGGAAGGCTCAGAAGAAGCCAGAAGTTCATCTTAAAACGGATCTTATCTTAGATCTCAGAAGAAGCTTAGCCATGAGTGCCTCGATGTAGACAGGTTTGAGATGAATAGGCTAAGCTACAAAACGAGCAGCAAACCATGAATATAATCGAAAACTAATAAGAAAAATTCTACAAAAAATGAACTAATAAGAAAATATTAAAGAAAAATACTTAACTTATAAAGGTTTGTAATAGATCTAAGTCTCTACATATATTACAATCACAATCTATAATCATAATATATGTAAACATCTATATCTAACATCCTCTCCTCCAGGGTTTCAAAAAAAAAAAACATCCTCTCCTCCAGGGTTTTACCGGTAAACTAAACTCTCAAGTCTCAAATCGTGCAATTTCTGGCTTCAGATTCTATTCAATTTTGTTTGCACATTCCTTACTTTACGATATATTAATTAATGTTTAGGTGAAAGTTAAGTTTTGTTCTTATATACTAATCATGATGAGTTGTCTTCATCACCTAACATGTTTTACTTGACGTCTCAACACACTTCTCATTTTCAATCTTCAAAAAGGTAAAACCGTTAATAATATACTTTTTCATCTTCTAGTCTTTTTTTGTGAGACTAACTGATAATAAGTCACAAAAACTAATAATCAACTATACAAACGTATACATACAATATATAGTAACTATACAAATCACAACAAATTTTCCGTCTACGACTACCAGCTGCTACGGTTAGTAAATCATTTTAAACAATTGATCAAAAAATATCATTATATTTTTTTCGTATATCTAGTATTTTGACTGACACATCATTATCACAATTTCGTGTCTACAATGCTGATTCCACAATACAACATACTTTTTCTTGATAACGTGAGTCGAAAATATTTCGTTTACCACTACATTTTGATACTTTTTTTTTTGTTCAAAGATACTTGTATATCTTATTTTCCTCGAAACGTCACTTTTGTCAAAAATGAAATAAAACAACTATTTTTAAAAATACAACCCATTTTTATCAGCGTCAATATCTCACAACATATTAATTTTGAATCTTATTTGCCACACTAAATACTATAACATTCTTAAAACAATAAGATATAATGGTAAATGTGTTTAGAGTTAGTAAAAGATGATAATAATATGGTATAAAATGACATTCAAGGGAGCATTGTTGATTGCACAGGAGCGTCGAGCAAATGAAATGTGATATAGTTAGTATCCATCCACATTTTCATGTTGTGTGGTATCCAGATTGTTGCAGTCAGTTAATACAGTATTATTTTCCATCCAATTTAATGATTTCCATCATTACTACAACATAAAGCGAAGTTATCGTTTAGTATGAGGTACACATTTACGTGTATTTTTAAAAACAGAAAATATGATATATATATTCACCTCAGCTTTATCAATAAAGTGCATACAAATACATTTGATTAAACGATTGGATAATTGCATGTTATTTTGGACTATCTAAAGTTATTAACATGAAATCACACTTATAAGTTGATGAGTCTCTAAGTTCATTGGGTTCAATTATATGAAAATGATTCAGACAAATTATAATCACAGTTCAAAAGTGCCAATATTCAGACAAAACAGGCACCAAATTTCAATGGGTTCACCTAGAAAGTAGCCACTAAATCTGCTGACGTGTTGTGACAAATCCGTAAGTCAAAATGCTTTTCACGCGTTTGAAGGTGAGAATGAAGGACGCCTCCGAGTGTCTGTCGCTACCTCTAAATTACAATTGGCTGATGTTACAACTTCGTTTTGTCACGTATATCATAAAATCAAATACTAATATTGTCTGGTGGATTTCGTTGACCAATACATATAGAGTTTTTAACGTAGGGATGTTTCCAAGTTTTAATAACACAATGGGACAATTATTGCTATTTGAACAGCTTTTATGTGAAATGTGTTAAATTGCCTTTTTAAAAGTATAACTAGTAGGGAAATATTGGTAAAGTCTTTTGTACTTTGTAATTACGTTTGAAATTTAAATATAAAGAGTGGATCCAAAAAAATTCTTGACTTAATTATTTGTTAAACGTATGAAAACAATTTTTCATTTATTTTTGTTCCTTTTACCGAAGCAACCGAAGTAAGAAAGGTAAAGAGAGAGACGACGGAAGAGATGATTCCGACGGAGGAGACAATCCATACCGCTTACCGGAGAGGTTGTTTACAACTGACTGTTTTTCATGATGATTACGATGATGTTGAGACACTGGAGATGGCGAAGTTTATTTAATAACTTTAGGTGCATATATGTTTTCTAATACCTCCAGTATCTATTCAACCGGAGCCTCCAGCTCTTGTAGTAAAGAGTTCAGTACTATGAGTATCGTCACTTAGGTTCGTGTTCGGCCATCTGTGACATCTTAAATAATAAGAAAATATGGATTCTGTAGGTTTTATGGTGATTAGTGTTTGAACTTAGAAAATTTTTGGGATCATACCATAGTTATCAAAAAATATTTATTTGGATATTTTTTCATCTAGATAAGATATGAATCACCACAGATATGGCAGTCCAGTTGGTTTAAACGCAGACGTTAGTATTGCTGTGTTTTTTGGTTCAATCGACCGTGGAAGAAATGTTTTACCCCATAAATGGCATTAGTAAATGTTGGTTCTGATCCTAAGAGAAACTAAGACCCAATGCCCGAACTTCAAAAAAAATATACGAGTTACTGCCAAGCTAAGCGCAAACGTGACCAAGTGTTGTCACTTTCTTGACTTGTTATTACACGTTATATTTTTTTAAAAGTAAATTATGTAATAACATTGAAAGGCTTAAAAGAAGGGTGGGTGGATAAGAAAAGCAGAGTAGGTAGTGGTGGACCGGGTGGTGTGAGAATAAACGTGGATGGATATTGGATAGGAATGTAGCATTGTGGCCCTTGCACGTGTATATATGATTTATAAATAAACTAGTGTTATGGTCTCTGCTATGCAGGAGCACAATATGTTTATTAATATAAAATATTAATTCAGATTGTGAAAATATAAGAATGGTATAAATATACATAAACCATACAATTTTTTTACAAAATTCGTATATGTTAGAAATTTACAGCTAATAAGAAAAACTGCGTAAAGTTAAAAAGAAACAAAACGTTCGTATAATACCAACTACTAACAGTTCTTATTTTGATTTTCATTGTTTTACTTGACTTGATATTGTTTATCTTATGAATTTTTTTTCTTAAAAATATCAACACTGAAATGAAATTAACCAAGTCGATGGTTTCATCATAATATTTAAATAGAATATACAAATGGTTGTTGCAGAGATCAACTAAATAAATAC